TGATGGGTTTATGAGTTTATCGTTATTATCGCTGTGGATGTACCACATTATTGGGCTTTGGTATTAACAAAGATGCTCGTTATTTCTCGAATTAATCATTATCACATTTAAATCTCAATATTTAATGCAAATTAAAAGCATTATTAAAAAATCCTCGTTAATGTATACTAATCCTCTGAATTAATTACTTCCGATTTATTGATAAAAAAATCTATTTTTGGAGAGGCAAAAAGTAAACTGTTTTATTTATATTTGTTGTCGAGAAGTGAGTAAATTTTTCAACGGATTTTGTTTGTAGTGTGGGCCCAAAGCCCAAATGCCTCATGAGCCACGACACTGTGATGACGATTTTTCATTTTGGTGGTTGTGTAATGTGTATACATATTGTGGTGGTGGAGACCATCATTCACTATCATCAATATTTGTTTTATTCCAATCTCATCATCATTTTTTGTTAGATTCAATCGTATTATACGTTTGTTTTGTGTTTGGTAAATGATTGGATATAATTCGACTTAAAAGTTAACATTTAATGTATAAAATCAAAGAGAGGAATATGTACTATATATATAAACTAGGTATGGAAACCTTCATCTAGTAGAAAAATCTGCTAATTTTTTTACCTAAAGTACACCTTTAAGAGCTATCATCAGAGTAACAAAGCGAAATAAGTGTATCAATAACATCAACCTAATCTTCAAGCCACCTCTCGACAAAGTAAATTAAAATAGATCATCTAAGCGGTCATCTAAGCTAATTCTGTTAGCATATCAAAGGGGTTGGTTCCATTTTGCCTTGTGTTCAAATCCTCTTTCGAATGAAGAATTATTCTTTAAATGCGGTTTTTAAAATGGGGCAATTACAAAAATGCCACATTTTGTGTGCACATTTGCAAGAATGCACTTAGAGGTGTCCATTTACAAAAATGTCACTAATTATAGATTTATAAAGCCTATATCTTAAAATTCTAAACCTTAAAAAATGTTTTGACACCTAAAACCCCCTAAACACTCAAAACTAAACCCTAATAGAACATAATTAACCCAAACATAAATAATATAAAGAAAAAAATAATTTTGAAAAAGTGGCATTTTTGTAAAGATTTCAAAAGTGTGGCATTTTTGTAAAATGGTACTTGAAAAGTGGCATTTTTTGAAATTTCTCTTTTAAAATTGTGAATAATAGTATATAGAATAAAACATATAGCGAGACGATTATTAGTTTGTTATTTCAAATACATATTTGTACACTTTTTATACAATAAAAACTATAATTTTATTTTTGAAAGTGATATTTTTTAAAATAATAATAATGAAATATGTGTATTAAATTTAAACAATACATACACTTATAGTATGTTTAATGCTTTGATATATTTAAATTTTATTTTATAAATTGTATGGTCAATGTATTGTCTATTATTTTGTAAACATTGATCTTTATATTAATTAGATTTGAAAATGTAATTAAATCTTTTTTTAATATGAAAATGGAATTTAAAAACGGAACTAATATTTTTTATAGATCGTTGTTAATTTTTACGTAAATGTTAATGTTAAATCAAATATATTTTTATTTCTTTCGATTTTACATTTTGAATGGAAGTGAAAAGTAATTTTATGAAAATTTTTGAATAAGTTAAGTGAAATGCCTTGTCATATAAAAAATTAATGTCATAATAAAATTTGTGAGATTGATTATGGAGATGACACATAAACATTTTTTCATAAAACGTAATTGAAGCTTTTTTAATATGAAATTAGAATATAAATATAGAATTATTAATTTTATATGTATTTGTTAAATTTTAAGTAAATGTTAATGTTAAATCAAATAAACTTTTATTTAGTTTTATTTTGAATTTTGAATGGAATTGGAAAATAATTTTATGGAAGTTTGTGAATAAGTTAAGTGAGATACAATATCATAATAAAAATTTATCATGTCATAATAAAATTTGTGAAAATAATTATGGAGATGACACCTAAACATTTTTTTCATAAATCACTTCTTAAATAATATTTAAGGAATTTTATTTGGGATATCGTATCATAGTAAAACTTTGCAATGTCATAATGAAATTTGTAAGATTGATTGTGGAGATGACAGTTAAACATTTTTCATAAATATTTTTTCATAAAACTTTGTGAGAATGATTGTAGAGATGACAGCTAAACATTTTCTATAAATATTTTTTCATAGAACGTAAATAAATATTTTCATACAAAAATGCAATATAAAAGCGAAATTAATAATTTTATAGATATTTATGAGATTTGATTGTGGAAATGAAAAATAATAAAATTTGTGAGATTGATTGTGAAGATGTTTAGGATGACACCTAAACATTTTTTCATAAAAAATTATGAGATTGATTGTGGAGATGATAGCTAAACATTTTCATAAACATTTTTTCATAAACATTTTTTTCATAAAAATTTGTGAGATTTGAATGTGGAAATGACTACTATTAAAAATTTGTGCGAATGATTGTAGGATGACAGCTAAATATTTTTCGTAGAACGTAATTAAATCTTTTTTATACAAAAATGCAATATAAAAGCGAAATTAATAATTTTTATAGACATTTGTGAGATTTGGTTGTGGAAATGACAACTATTAAAATTTGTAAGATTGATCGTGGAGATGACATCTAAATATTTTTAATAAACATTTTTTCATAAACATTTTTTTAAAATTTTGTTAGATTGATTGTGGAGATGACAGCTAAACATTTTTCCATAAACATTTTTTCATAGACATTTTTTCATAAACATTTTTTTCATAAAAATTTGTGAAATTGATTGTGGAGATGATAGCTAAACATTTTTCATAAACATTTTTCCATAAATATATTTTCATAAACATTTTATATAAACATTTTTTCATAAAATTTTGTGAGATTGATTGTGGAGATGATAGCTAAACATTTTCATAAAACAAATTTCATAAACATTTTTTCATAAAAATTTGTGAGATTGATTGTGGAGATGACAGTTAAACATTTTTCATAAACATTTTTTCATAGACATGTTTTCATAAACGTTTTTTCATAAAAAATTGTAAGATTGATTGTGGAGATGACTGTTAAACATTTTTTCATAAATCAGTCTCTCTATGTATATGATATCTCTCAAGAGCTAATAAAGATGTTGTTTATCTTGAGATACTTTTTTTAGGGGTTTTAGCACCACTTGAGGTAGTGGTGGTGATAGATTTGATGCTTGGAATCGCAGTGATCCCTTATTTAGTATTGACCATTGGGATTATGAAAATGCCCGAGTCGCCGAGGTGGCTTGTAATGCAAGGTAGGTTAGAAGAGGCCAAGAAAATCATGGTTTTGGTATCCAACACTGAAGTAGAAGCCGAAGAACGCTTCAGAGACATGTTAACCGCTGCGGAAATAGACGATGATGATACAGCGGTGAAAGCGGTTGGGGGCGGTAGGAAGAAGAATCAAGGCAATAGTGTATGAAGAGAACTATTGATTAAACCAATACCCACGGTACGTCTGATGATCTTGATCGCGACAGTGGGAATACATTTTTTCGAGCATGCGACTGGGATCGAGGCCGTCATATTGTACAGCCCGTGGATTTTCAAGGCAGCCGGAATAACTTCGGAAGACAAACTCTTGCTCGCCACGGTCGGTGTAGGTTTAACTAAGACCGTTTTCATAATAATACCTACTTGGGTGTACGTACGTGTTTTTAGCATTTTTCTCGATCGGGCTTGGGCCAATCACGTGGGTGTACAGCTCGGAGATATTCCCGTCGAGACTCAGGGCTCAAGGAGCTAGCATAGGCATTGCGGTTAATAGGATCATGAACGCGATGATCTCGATGAGTTTTATGTCGATAACTAATGCGATCTCGACGGGCGGTGCGTTCTTTGTGTTCGCTGGATTCGCGGTGACTGCATGGTGGTTCTTCTTCTTTATGTTCCCGGAGACGATGACATTGGAGGAGATAGAGAAGCTTTTTGGTGGTGGGGATGCTCGTGGTGATCGCAACGGACTAGAGATTCAAACTAAGAAAATCAATAATTAGATTTGATTATCATTGTTAATTATAGAGTGATTTGGCTTATGTATTTTTGTCAACGTGATTTGGCATATACTTTATATACGGTGTGATTTTGTAAGCAAGTGAATTATTGAACAAATATATTTAATTTACTTCTGAAATTTTGAATGCGATATATGTTTGTGTTTGCATGATAT